AACAAGGCCTAAGAGTAATGGCAAGTCTAACCCTTGCAGGGCAATGTTGTCTTATGCCACATTAGGGTGACAATGTAACCAAAACTTAACAAACCAGGAAAGCTGTGTAGTCTGCTGTCAAAAAAAGGCTGTCACAGCTACACAGCTATTTCAGGTACCACTAGCAAAAGCCACTCCTTTGAATTTCTGTACAGGACCATACACATAACTCATGTGCAACTTATCTGACTATTCTCTAAGAAGCCTGAGGTGGAAATGCATGTTCTTTCTGCACGTGGGCAATAAAAATACTAATTATCATAGTGCCAAGAACAATATTTTGCTAGACTATAATAGAAACTAACTTGATGCGTCCCCTTTACATTTTAAATAATCTGTCAGTTTGGGATCATTCTAACCTCAATGGACTATGTGACATTCTGAGTCCACGAATATTGTTTTTTGATGTATGTGACAGGATGAATTTGCTCTGTTGCACTATGTCCCAATGGCTTCCTTTCCATGCCAAAAGCAGTGCACTGACCTGGTAGTCCAACATGAGGAGTAATGTGCACCGCACGCTGACATCACCGGGTCTTTTCACCTGGAAGCCATCCGTTTCCTGGGTTGTGGGAGTTCTGTGCCACTGCCAAAGGAAAAAACAAGTAAGACGGTCAGTCTTTTTTTCATTGATGTCCATCGGGGTGCATCTTGCACAGTACGCCATGCAAGAATAAGACAGTTACAAGCCTTCTGAAGATCTTGCAATTTTAAAAAAAACCACAACAAACCCCGCCAAATCTTGCCCTTAACAGTTCAGCTTTAGTGCACAATCTGTTCTGCTGTTAGCATGCTTTACTTGTTAGGAAAAATGCGCACATTTTTTTCATCATTTCATACACTCTGTTCCAAGATGTGCAATACATCACTACTACATCTATGTTTTTAGACTATATAGATTCTGTTAGTAAACATTCTTAAAAATAATGGAATTTTGAAAACTTTGAAAATACCTTAAATGAGAAAATGAATGCAAGGTAACTTAACTAAGGTAGACAATGGGCACATAGCTGTTTATCTGCTAGTATCAGGTTTGTATGCAAAGGGTGCACGACCTTCTTACCTCCACAAGATGGTTGTCAGGTCCATAAAGATCTTTGTCCAGTTCAATAACCAAACTCTTAAAAAAAGAGGAAAACTTCCGTTTCTGTTTGCTGAGCTGTACAATCAGAAGAAACACAAATGTTTAAGGCTGCGTATATTAGCTTGTGTTCTATGCTTTCTTCTCAGGCTTTCTCTTTCTCTTCAACATTAATTCAGGTCTATTAATATAGACCACAAGTGTGACCAATCTAATTGAGTTCTCCCTCTGACAAATGCAGGGTAAGATGCAAAAATCTCAACAGTGGTGGAACAGTGCACACTTAAGGGAAGATTTCCCTGAATCTCGTAATGTTATTGGAAAGGACTGGCTTGTAATGTGAACACAGCACCTGTGAGAGCAGGTCCAGAGGAGGCCACGAAATTCCGAGGGCTGGAACACCTCTCCTGTGAGGACAGGCTGAGAGAGTTGGGGTTGTTCAGCCTGGAGAAGAGAAGGCTCCGGGGAGACCTTGTTGCGGCCTTTCAATATTTAAAGGGGGCTTATAAGGAAGATGGGGACAGACTTTTTACCAAAGCCTGTAGTGACAGGGCAAGGGGCAATGCTTTTAAATTGAAAGAGAGTAGGTTTAGATTGGACATAAAGAAGACATTCTTACAATGAGGGTCGTCAGACACCGGAACAGTTTGTCCAGAGAAGCTGTGGATGCCCCATCCCTGGCAGTGTTCAAGGTCAGGTTGGACAGGGCTTTGAGCAACCTGATCTAGTGAAAGATGTCTTGCCCACAGCAGGGGGGTTTGACTAGATGATCTTTGAAGGTCCCTTCCAACCCAAACCATTCTATAATTCTAAGGCCACTGTATACCTTTTATTTTAACAGCTTGTTTTTTTTGACGAATGCTAATTTCTTGGTCTGATTTATCAGATGACAGTAAATTTTACAGATTAATCATACACTAAGTAAAAGCATTTCCTTTTACATTTTGCCTTTCCATTTAATTATCAGTATTTGCTGTTTACTACACAGCTCATACTGTCTGAATTAAAAAGTGGGAGGTCTATAATCACATAATCTGACTTTCCATAGAATACAGTCCACAGGATTTCAATTAATTTCTTCTTATTTAATGCAGAAAATCCTTTAGAAATACATCCTCCTTTGATTTAAAATTTGCCAGTACTTGAGAAGCTATTTTGTTCCAATAAAGAATCTTTCTCTGTTAAAATATATGCTCCAATTTCTAAACTGAATTTCTCTAACTTCAATTTCCAGATGTTGCACTTTGTCACCCCTTCATCCTCCAGCAAGATTATGATTCTGATTCATGTACAGTTATCTCCAGTGCCTTGAAAGCCTTGCCCTCTCCATACATGCATGTTCTCCATCTGTTTATCCTATCAAATACTTAGCTTGCGAAGTCTGTTCATATAGGTGACACTTTTATTAGGAAATTCCAGCCTTCCCTGAGGAAAGCTAAATCCATCACCGAGGTTTCTGAGGACTTCAGAATGATAAAACTTTTCTTCCATCCTTGCTCTGACATCCATACATTCTCTTGTCCTCCCTAGGAATATGAACCACTTGCTTCTCTTTGTTATCCTACTCTTCACAAGATACAATGCCTGCTGTAGGCCTGACTTATCACGCCTCTCGTGACATGAACCCTCCCATATCTTTTAAGGGAATCGTCTCAGCCCTGTTCTCTCCACCTCCTCCTACCTGTCCTGTCCTTATGTCTGCTCCATTTCCTGCTGCCCTCCCCGCCCCTCCCCAACATTCCCATTACGGCCTTATCCCTCACTCCGGCTGGACATGGCGCCTTCCCAGCAGCAACAAGCCAATGCTGCCATTCAGAGATGTCTTGTCTGACTTGATGTGCCCAGTAAAGTCCACTACCCCACAAAACAATCTCTAGATCCTTGCTAGCCCCAGTGAAGCACAGGTAAGTCATACGTCATCCAGGAGCTTCCCCTCCACTCGCAGCTCCCATGAAGCAATGCTGCCATCAGAGTCATCAGCGTCAGATTTTGCAGGATTAAATGTGTTGGAGATGTAAAGTCTCAGTTTCCGCTTTTGCTGTTATACAAATGGAGAAAAGAAAAGTACACATCCAGTTTAAGTCCAAGACATGAGGAAGCCACAGGAAAGGTGATAGTTACACATTTAGTAGAGAATCTGCATGTTTAGTACAATTGCACCAGGTTATACTAGAATTAAGATTTGGTTATGTATAAGAAAATACACTGAAAAGCTGAATCTGAAACTTCCTTTCAAAATCTATTGGCTATACAAACATGCTAAGATCCACTGTAAGTGGAGAAAGACAGGAGGTTGCAGGGCCAAGCCCATGAGGACTGTACTTCTGGATTAGATGTTTGAGAAATCATTGTAAGAAAAGCATGACATGATGCCCTTCCTGTCTAGATCCTAGCTAGATTGCTAAGATTCAGCTGCAAACCTCTTGCTACATGAATGTCTTTCATAGTTGCATCAGTTCAGATTTGTAAATGGCAGTCACAAATACAGCTAATGCTGCAAATTACATGCTGGGCACATCTCTGCCTATCTTCATTCTACCATCACGCAGAGCCTAGTAATAGTTTTCCTACAGAGACACACCCAAATACACACACACAGCCCTGCTGCCTAACCTTCCTCTTCAACTGCCTTTCACCCTAATCTAACATGTTGCAGTTCCAACTTGCTGTGAGACCTGAGTGGAGGAAGGCACTGTGCTTCATCCGTAACCCAGGTGCTCAAGTCTGTCAGAGGTACAATCATGCCTACCTGTTGTCATTTTTACAGGCTCTCTGAGGTTTCCCAATCACTGTACTAGCTTATGGCTATGTTATTTCTCAGTGCCCTTCTCTCCCATGCACCATGTGGAAAACCTGGCTATTAACTCTGATGCATGGATTCCAGAAAAGATATTGCCAAAAATGTCTTTGGGACTCTAATCTCAAATATCTGTTTATAATATAATGACAAAAAGGCTACAGTTGTCAAGTTAATGCAGTCAAAACAACCTTCATACAACATAAGAAAGAAGTAGTCTTGTAAAGCTCACACACACACACACACACACACAGAGGAGAGAAGGAAGTTATATACATCGGGTCAGGAAACGAAAAATCTAATATGGCATAGAGGAGGCATGTGGGAGGCAGAAATGTATGGCTGAAGAGGAACAAGAAAATGACTACATTTTGCCAAATCTAGAGAAGACAGTGACAGAAAGGATGCACTGAGAGGGAACAGAATTTTCAACAGTGCCAAGAGTCCAGAAAATGACAGGTTGACATGGATAAGAACAGGCAGATAGGTAGAAAAATATTCCTGGAAATCCTTATTTTTTCTCCATCCTTTCCTACAGGATTTCTGTTGCTAAAGTGCTCTTTCATTATATAAAATGTTTTGTTTTTTTTTTAATGTCCCAGAATTTTTATTTGGTGTGGAGACTTGTGAAGGACTTCACATTTCTAAATTCACAACTCTTCAAATTACCTTACACATTTTATGCACTGTTCCTAAATTTTATCCCCTCCTGGATTATTTGCTAACTGTATCTATATACATAAGCAGCTTTTTTCTTAATAGTTCCTCCTGGATATTCTACTGATATTTCAGGTTTATATCACTGATTCCATTTCCTCTTCTTTTGATTTCCAAAGACATTATCTCCATTCTCCCCTTTACCCTGGAAACTCCTCTCCTCATATCTCCCCATAACCGGATAGGAACTGTGTCTGTTTCCTCCGAAGTCTGACATTTCATCACTAAGATCATCCTCTGCAGCAACATCCTTATTCAAATTTGAATATTTTAGATGTCTTCCCTTCTCCTAGCTTTCAGGCTCTAGCTTCCTTGTACAGTCCACCTAAAACCAAGTTAGTAACAACATCTAACTCCACTGTGAAATACAAAATACCTCTCCATGATACTTTCCACTGTTTCCCTTTGCTAACCCCTTATCATCTTTCTTTCAAGTCATGCACAAGCCAGATGCAGCTTACATTGCAGAACTGGTCTCCTGCTGACTTCCCTGTACTTTCCCTGCTCTGCCAAAGTCAGAGTCTGCATATCATTTGTTTGTTTCTTCCACAAGTCTCTTCAATTCACAGTGTTTTCTTCTACATAATGAATTCTCTTTCTCAAATTTAAGCCATTCCTCACTGTAACCCCCCAAAATCAGCCCACTTCTTCCACACTGTCATCAGAAAGGAACTTAGAACAATTATGAATAAAAAACCTAATCCAGGACAAATGGCTAGCTCTAAAGTTATCTTTTGTCCTACTTTCTACGTATCTTGATTTTAGATCGAAAACCATTTAGCCTTTGACTCCAACATGTTACAGACACTACTGACAACCTGTAAGTACTGCGGAATGCTGAGCCTTTAGTCTCTGCTAACAAAGACATTCTATCCAACAAGCAAAATGTGTAACCTGCACCCTGGGGGTTGTCTTCAGATTTTGGCCCAAAAGGTACTGCAAATTTGCAAGACTATTAAGGCAGTGATTATCTCCCAAATGCAACCACAGAAAGATCCTTGCTTCTGACTCAGAACAAATATCCAGGAAATTGGTCAAATAGGGCAACTGCACAGCTGCAAGAGGACCCCAACACCAAATGGGCTTTAAATCTAATAAAAATCTTTATTAGAACACAAAGCAGAATAAGGGAACATAAAGAAGGAAAACTCACATTTGCCGGGTAAAATGGAATAAATAAAAAAAAAGGTTTTGTAAATCAAATTTTCTCTGTTCACATGTCCTTGAAAATATTTCATTTCTTCAGACTTGCTCTTATTCCAGCAACTCTGTGATTTCCTGGGTTGCAGAAAACTCTGTAGGGTCATTTCTGAGGAGACACAGAGAATCCTCTCTTTTTATTCCTTAAGATCCAACTGTGTTTGTGCTATTGCCTTCTCTCAGGAGACTCCAAATTTCTATCTTCCCTTCCGGCTTCTTACTCAACAAGGCAGCCCCTCATCCTTTTTGCCTCACGGACTGCCCTACCCTGCACTCCAGCTGGCACAATCTCCCCCTCCCTCTGAGGCCTTTACCAGGCCAAGTGCACCTTAGGACATGAAAAACACTAGCCTTCCTTTCTACAGCTGAGCCACCCACCCTTTAAAAGTAACCTACATAGCCAACTGCAAACAGGCGTCAGCCATCACAATTGTCATAACCAGTAACTCTAGACTTGACCTGCAGAGTGCAGCCAGATCTGCCAAAGATGTTCCGGTAAGCAGTCTAAAAAAATTGTGAAAAAATCATTTGGCCATGAACACTGCTTTAACAGCCAAACATGTCCTCCTCTGTACAGCACTGTACTGACCCAGAAACATTCAAGCCTCCACAACTACCTTTCTGAAGCTGTTGCCAACATGTCCATCTCCTGTTTGTTCCCTTATGAGTTGCTGCTCCATTTTTTCCTTCCTTCTGCCCTTGCCAGAATTCCCACTACCACCTCTTCCTTACATGTCTAGTGTTGCCAGCACCACTGGCTCCTCATAAAAGCTACCTGGGAACAGCTCTGCTCAAGACATTCTGGGAGGCTATCTTAACTTCCAGTTCCAGGAACTAGACAATGGCACTTGAACTTGCCCTACATATACTTATCACCAACAGTGGTAATACATACTTTGAACAGTAGCATTTAAAGAAAATACATTTAGAAATCTCTAGCAAAACATCAGAACCATAGCTCTACAAATGAACATTTTCTTTGGACCAGCAGGCTCCTTCTCCTCTACCATGACTTCTTCCTGTCAGCTGTGAGACGCTACCATGCACCTGATGCAGGATCCTGGCAGAGATCCAAGAGTATAGTCTGAATCCTGAAGGGATCTATCCAGTGAGTAACAACTTCGGCACTCACAGCTATACTGCCATCATAAAGATGTCCAGTCTTGGAAGATGTCAGCTCAGAGATGATACAGATAGTCAAAACTGAGCTCAGGGAAGAAGAACACCAAAATGGCGCTGGCTGGGGTTTTATAACCACTATACAGACCATAAAGTCTCCTTGGCTGAAGACACACCCCCAAAACCACTCCACTCAGTTCACTTATCAGTACTCCTGGGTTCCACAATAATGTCAAGTTCATATCCAGAAGGCTCTGAGAGTAAGGTATTCTTCCATCTCCAGTTGAGCAACTCCATCTCATCCAGGCAGGAAATGATACATCAGTTATGTGCAACATGGTTACTTTGCAGCTTGAATACAGCAGTGCAATATACTTGGGCAAGAAGCCATTGCCCTTCAATAAATTCTGCAAATTTCTTAGCAATGCACATTATAGCACAGATCTAAAAATCTATTCTCCTCTCTGTATGGTGGCTTCTCAGAGAACAGAAAAGCAACGAACCAAAACCTGTGGCCTTGTTTTTTACTGGTAGAATTCTCAGTAGCTTGGAGCAAAAACTAAAGAGAAAACTTACAGCTCTAGGGCAAGAAGAAAGCATCACATTTCATCTCTTCAGGCACACTGAACCTTTACCACCCACAAAGACAAAGCTCAACCGGGGGGAACTTCACGGAGACTTGATCAACGTTGTGAATCAAATAACCTCTTTCCAAAAATCAATAAATGCTTAATCTGCTTATTCTCTAAGTGTAAGATACGCATCTTTAACATGTATCTTTGACTTGTCTTCAGCAAAATGAACTTGGAGTAGCAGTCATATTAAAAAGAAAAGCCTTCCCCAAAAAGCACTGTATTTCACTTACAATTTCTCCTTGAGCAAACCCAAAGGAAAAAAGAAGCATATGTGACAGAAGATTGGTCATGTCTGCAATGAACTACTGCAAAGGTCTCAGCTGTGACAGCAGCACAAATGGCAGGAGAGCTCATGTGGAATGAAACAGATCTAAACAGGAGGCTGACAGGAATGCTGGAGCAGCAGAACTACAGCTTTTTCTCTCTCTATGTTCTTCAGTATCATCTTCACACAAATCAATACAGCTTTAAGTTGAAGTAAATGGGTGAAATGCTGGAAATCCATCATATCCTTCAGAAAACTACCTCTGCTTTATAGTGCCACATTTTTTTTCAGTTTCCATTAGCATT